GTTTCTCATCTTTCAAAGCTATGTATTATTAGGTGTCTAGTAACTATAATCTTAGTATTAAGTATCCATCCTATTAATGTATTGTACTTTAGGATTCCATATACATTTATTTTGTGTAATTGAATGAGTTGTTTCTCCTATCTAAGTCAAGCATTTGACTTGGTTATACGAGTCAATCCATAACTAGCAACATCAAACGAATTCTGTTGCCCTTGATTGAATAAACTCCATATTATATATTCTCAGTCTGTTCGACACCCTTGGCTTGTCGTGCATCAGGTCATATTATTTTCACAATGCCTATGATAAAAAAGTGACCCCAAGTTCCAATTTATTTACTTTTCAAAATATCTAGAAAAAATTAATATTATTTTATACATATGGCAAATAAGTGCGCTTGATTATGCCACATAAGTAGACGTAACATAGTTTTTAATGAAACGGGATATAACGAAACATTTTCGTTACTGTTCATTTTTAACGAAATTGATATTTTTACTCTAAAAAGTCATTCATGATAATATTCACTTACAACACATTTTTGTCCTTTTGCTAAAACTCAAAATTTTCAAAATTTCTTTTTCTTCCTATAAATTTATGCAAATTTCAGAAGTAAAGTGAGATCGTAGTAAACTTAAAAAACGTTTCTCGAATGTAATAGGATATTACATTAGTGACGATAAGGTTTATCTCCGCCCAAATATAGTGAAGGGTGAGTTACGGGCGGTGTGGACCTTCTGTTGTTGGCGCAGTAATGACACTGGATTCGCTTCTCTCTGTTGATAACAGTGTGTCAAAGGTTTACAGTGCGAGTTGATAAAACTCGCTTTAATGGCTGTGGCTGCTCCGGCTCTGCATCACCACCTATGGCTCCGCTTCTCAAACCCAATAACACGAACAAGGCCGTCTCTTCCCGGCGGAGGAACCGCCTTCCTCACCCATTTGCAAATTCACCAGAACTCAGCCCGCATCTCTCTCATTTCCTGCTCTTCAACTTCTCAGTCCACTGAAGCCAGTACAGACACCCCCGAGTCTTGTGTGAATTTGGGTCTCCAGCTCTTCTCCAAAGGACGGGTAATTTCCCATATTTCCCTACTAATCGTCGCAACTTTCATTTTCTTTGAGAAAATTTTACGTTTTTGTGAGATGGGTGCGTTGAGTTTTAGTTTTCTATCAAGAACGTACTGTCTATATGTTGTTCATAATGTGTCGATATCAATGTTATCGTTTTCCTAAGTAGGAAATATCGTATCTTTAGTTTAATGTGTTAAACTTTGAGGTTAGGAAAGCAGAAATATTGTATCTTTGCGCTTTGTTTCAATTTGCATACGTTTAGAAATTTGGATTTTGGTGAATAAGAAGCTCTCTTTTTTGCTGTATGAAAGTATTTGATATCGTGTCTCTATGATCCTGGAGTTTTCAGGTTAAAGATGCTTTAGTTCAGTTTGAAACAGCGCTCAGTTTGGATCCCAACCCAATCGAGGCCCAGGCTGCACTGTATAACAAAGCCTGCTGTCATGCCTACAAGTAGGGATTTCGGAGTATTTTGTTGGTTTTCCTTATGCATCTCAGACTATCGAAAATATGCCCGAAGTTTATATTTTCTATCTGAATTTACCTCCAACTAATTCTTAGCTAGGCTGATAGGTGTGTTTTTTTCGTTCACATTTTGAGGAAGAGGGGAAGGAAGGAAAGCTGCTGATTGTCTACGTACCGCCTTGAGAGAATATGACCTCAAATTTGGCACAATTTTGAATGATCCCGACTTGGCCTCTTTCAGAGCTTTGCCTGAATTTAAGGAATTGCAGGAAGAGGTTTTTTACTAAACTCAAACTTTTAACTGTAAATTGTTTTGTCCTGTAATTTTGAGAGTGCATCTCATCCTCTGGTTGTTTCAACCGATTGGGGTTTGTAAGCGATGGAATCATATGAATAGCTGTTATTTATTGTTGAAACCTTGCCACGTTTTCTTCTGTCTTTGGACATCTTTTATGACAATTATTTCTTATTTATGCAGGCTAGACTAGGTGGGGAAGATATAGGCTACAGTTTTAGGAGAGATCTCAAACTCATTAGTGAAGTCCAAGCACCATTCCGTGGGATTAGGAGATTCTTTTATGTAGCATTCTCTGCAGCTGCAGGAATCTCAACGTTCTTTACTGTACCCCGGCTGTTCCGTGCATTTCAAGGTGGTGATGATGCCCCTGATCTCTGGGAAACTGCTGGCAATGTTGCCGTTAATGTTGGAGGTAAAATCAAGTGCTTTTACTTGCATATAAAAAGTACCGTTCTCCCTCTTTTCTATGTATAAAAGTATTGAGTTAATCCATATAGAGTGTCTTTGATGAGATAACGTTGTTATAAATAACAATACTACGTTTGTCAGATATGGTTCTTGGTAAGTTACTCTGTTTCATCGAAAACAGAACGTAATAATCTTATAGGATATCTGGAGACGTATGAGTTATAATTCATTCAATGAGTATCTCATACAGATTGGGAGTAACAGGGAAAAAAAAAAAAAAAAAGAACCCCAAAAGATCCAACTTTCACGAGTGTAAGCTTTTGGGTTGTGTGTTCATCGACAGTCGTGTCTTTCAATTGCTTGGGAGATCAAGGGATTGAATATGATACTGAGTGGACTTTGTAACTTGCTATTTAATATGACTAAGCTTTTGAATCAGTAATCTACAGGTCTTATTGTTCTTGTGGCATTGTTTTTATGGGAAAACAAGAAGGAGGAGGAACAACTTTCACAAATATCTCGCGATGAAAATCTATCGAGATTGCCATTGCGCCTCTCCACCAACCGGGTTGTTGAGCTTGTGCAGTTGCGTGATACTGTTAGGCCTGTGAGTACCAATGTTTTTTCTTTCTTCATTATCTCTATGTAGGTTATACGTTGGTGCAGTTCTTTTAATTCTCTACATCTATTTTTGTTTTCGTTATCTGGATAAATGCCAATGATCTGATGAAGTCTAGAATTTAGGTTATTTTAGCAGGGAAGAAGGAGACTGTTGCCTTAAGTATCCAGCAGGCAGCAAGATTTCGAACCGAGCTCCTAAGAAGAGGTGTTCTTTTAGTTCCTGTCATCTGGGATGAAGTTAAGGTACCTCAAATAGAGAAGAAAGGCTTCGGTACACCTTCAAGGCAGCTGCTGCTCTTCCTTCTATTGGAGTAAGATGCAAAGACTTTCAACTATAGTTCTCAATGCATGTTCTGAGATAGACTTTGATAAGTTATTTCATTCGTCCTACTATATCTGTTGGCTCCAATGGTAGGAAGATTTCGAGAAACGAACTCAGTCTATAACTGCAAAGTCAAAGTTAAAAGCTGAAATCCGATTCAAGGCTGAGGCTGTATCCCCTGCAGAATGGGAAAGGTTACATGTTACTCTTTATTGTCTACACACTTGTTTCGCCATCAAGTTATTACTCTAAATAACAAAATGCTTTGTGTTTATGTGCATTATTTGGTTTGTATGGTTTATATGCATTATGGTGTTGATATGCTTGATTAGGTGGATAAAGGATCAGCAAAAGTCCGAAGGAGTTACTCCTGGTGAGGATGTCTACATTATACTGCGCCTGGATGGTCGGGTTCGAAGATCAGGGAAAGTAAGTGCATACTGCATTTATGGCTACTTAAGTTCTGGATTTGAGTTTCTGAAATAGCAGATTTAATGTCCTGCATTTCATTTCAAATATACGCGTTTCTTTGCTCCATTTATTTCCATACACCCTACAAACGTTTAAACTGGTTCGACCCAAGGAAAACTTAATTCTGTGTGTCATCCTCTCCTTTTCGTTTCCCTTTGTATTGTTTTGGAGTTGAATACGTCTGTAATATACTCCGATATCTTTGCAGGGCATGCCGGACTGGCAACAAATTGTACAGGAGCTGCCACCAATAGAAGCATTACTAAGTAAACTCGAAAGATAGGAGAGTTTTTATGGATGCCTCTGTTAGGCAATCATCTGGTTCTTACACTTCCCATCCCCCATAATATTTCCTTTAACTCCACCCCTTTCGGGTCAATTTGTATTACTAATACGTCTGCAGACGCACAATTCATGTACATTCCACTGATGTATTGTAAATTTTACAACGAACGGTGAATTTTAGACGGGTGGAAATATATTTCGATTTTTGTTTATATACAACGCAGTTTCTTTGTTGGATCATCCTTTCTAGAAGGCCGTTGCACAACTCTGTGGGGGCTTGTAGCTTAAGTGGTCGAGCGTTTCACTCTCATACACTCTTGTTCTCGTCCCTAACCACCGTTATACCTAACTGACCGAGTATAATATAAAACAGCTTGTTTAGCTGTTGTTTTCAAAAAGATTAGTCTGAATCTCTTGACGTAGGAAGAAGTTTAATCAAAGTCCGCTTAAGTGGCTCGAAGTTGTTGTAGTGCCTGCTGGCGCAAATTCAAAAACAATATCAATTTCAATGATTAGTTACATACCGATTTGTGGTTTGAATATAATAAAATCATTTTACATATTTCAACAAGCAGCTTGCTTCGGTTTTGATGCGGCTCGTTCGAAATTGCTTTAAGAACGGCTAAAAGAGTGTGCTTCGGTTTTGATGTGGCTCGTTTGAGATTCCCTTAAGAATGGCTAAAAGAGCTCTCTACTGACTAAAAAGGCTCTAATAACGTTTCATAAAAAAAACTCAAAAGACACTTCCCGGACAAATAAGCGCTTTCTGGAGACAGTGAGCGTTTCTAAATTCCGATTGCTTTTTCAAGAAGCACTTGGTTTTTTTCAATTAAAGTCGTGACGTGTTTTTGATAAAAGCACTTTTAACAAAAGCACTTACGAGCGAAATCCGAAAACGGCCCTTGTGAAATCTCTACCAGCATATTTTCCGGTAGTGGTTGATTTCATTTTCTTGGTAGGTTTTGAACAAGTCATGGATTGTTCCAATTTCAGCTTTCTTCGTAGCAATTGGAACGAGGTTGAATTAATGCAAGTCAACAAAGTAATCACCTCCTCGAAGAAATCAGCATCCTTCATATCATTTAAAACAACTCAGCAGCTATAAATACTCGTTGGAAGCCAAAAACACACCATACAAAAAACTATGGCCAATTCCTCCGCCATTATCTTTTCCTTGGCCCTCGTCACCGCTCTGATCATCTCCGCTGACGCAGGCAGCGATCACAGGGTGAGCTGGGTTCCGCTGAGACCCCGCTGCGAGGGTTCGGTAGCAGAGTGCATGGATGATCATGATGATGAGTTTGGCATGGACTCAGAGATCAGCAGGCGCATCTTGGCCACCTCACAGTACATAAGCTATGGAGCTCTGCAGAGAAACACTGTGCCTTGCTCTCACAGAGGTGCTTCCTACTACAACTGCAAGTCGGGTGCCCAGAGCAACCCCTACAAACGCGGATGCAGTTCTATTGCCCGTTGCCGGGGTTGATCACCAGTGTAGCTGTTTTATGTTATGGATTTAAGTAACAGATCATGCTGTGAATTGTAATGCTCATACTATTGCTTTATCTTTCTGTTTTTATCCCGACAATACTGTAGTCGAAATTTTCTTGATCAACCTTGTTACTTAACTTAACAATCTATCCTAAACCGGGGAGTAGCTGGCTAGAGCAGTGTTCGAGTCGTCCTACTTGTGTATGCCTGGATTAACCAGAGCCGACTCGGTTGGGGCTATTCTGAAAGGTGAGTCCCTGCACGAAGAAGTCTGACCTGGGCCAACCACAGTCTAAGTAGGTAAACGAGTTCCAGAATCATCGTTCTAGGACGTTCCCGACTAGTATAATTTTATGAAATATAAAGATGTTACGGAATGTCAAAGTTTTCCCAGCAGCCAAACATTCAAAAAATAAACAAACAGCAGTGAACTGTTAAATTCTGAAGAACAACGCATGATAAAACATCATCTCATATTAATAACTTTCAAAAGATAGACCGTGAACAACATTAGCTACAAGAGCACACTGAGTGTTTATAATCTCATAGAAACATCAGCTTCAATCGATCAAGCACAAATACACAACCGCAGACAAAGAAAAGATATCACAAAAACCAAAAACCTTATCAAATGTAGGATGAGCACTATGTTTATCAGCAAGAACATGAATTGTAACTAAATTTATGCAGAACCTTCATCTTGCTTCACTTCATCTGATGCTGGCTTGGACTGCTGCATTGGAGACGGAGAGCCCTCCATTCCCATCTCTGTTTTTAGTTCGTTGATGCTGCTCTCCAATTCATTTATGCGAGAGCCCATCTCGTCAAGTGATCATAGTTAAGGAAACATAGCAGATATTTCACTGATAGCACACAGATAGTAAGGTTTCAAACCCGTCAAGATCCAACTATCAAAACTTGCAGGCAAAACCAGAAACCAAATGAAAACCGAAAATCAAAAAGTATACATAGACTAATTCCTTCAACCTAATCAGACATACTCGTAGTTGTGGCTATAGGAGGAATCTATAACTAATTGAGAACCAAATATGACATCACCCTAACGCGGACAGATAAACGCTTTCAAAGTTAAAGAAAACGGGAAAAGGATATTCTTCGTAACAATGGAGTCGGACATTGTTTGGAACCTAGATTGCTGCAAACAGAAATTTTATCAGTAACAGTCAGTTATTTGATTCAACCAACATCACCTCAACTCGAGAAAAACTCACCATTTGTTGAAGAAGATTTTGCACCTGCGAAAAACAGACACCGAAAAATCATTACCAACACAAACATTCTTGTAAAAATGATCCAATAATCTCAAAATCCTACATTTTTTGAACAAAAATCGAAACTCAGAAAGCTATGAGAACAATTAGGCACTCACAAAAGCAGACATGTCGGCAGTGCTCTGCTTCGGATCCTCCGAATCATGCCCGTCCTGCAGAGAAAAACAAATTCAGAGCAAAACACAGCCAAAGTGCTCCACAGAGTGGCCCTAACGACATGTCGTACCAGCAACAATCGCCCAAACCGACGTACATTTGGGCGAATTGCAACGATCAGAGAGAAAGAAAGAAGCTTTTGCGGTAATATCAAAAGCAAACGAATTTGGGCATTCAAGTTGTAGCTAGAAAATTCAAAATTTTGAATTGAATCGAATCGGAGTTGAAAAATTCAGGAACCCTAACGGAAAAACTAGACGAAATTGGACGATTTATTTCCAGAAAAATAACGAAATAAAGAACGAAGATTTGAAATTACCATTCTCTGCAACTTTTGGAAGTGTTCTTCTTGCTCCTTCTTCCGTCCGTACAGTAGCTGCAATGGCGATGCGTTGGGGCCTTTGGGTGCGGTGTGGCCTCTGGTTTATAGTTCCGGTGATTCGTTTGGACACGAAATTACTGCTATGCCCCTCCTTTTGAATTCAAAATTTCATTTTCTGGACCAAGGTGATGGTGGGCATTTTTGGAAAGTCAATGACTTGGAAGTTGAGAAGCTGAGCGCCACTGGAATTTCAAATTTTTTATTATCGTCACAAATAAATTAATACATTTAACGGTAATAAATAAGTACATTTTAAATTAGAGAGTTAGAAAAAATAAAAAGTTAAAAATCTATCACAATAAAGCGTTAATAGTATGTCTACTTAAGTCAAATTGGATGTTGGATTATTCCGATTATTAATTTTCATGTGTATTGAAACCATTTCAATTCCTTCTTTCCATGTTCTTACTAACAAATATGAAACAGAAAATGCTAACTCAAGTCTCTCAAAAGTAAAACTCTCCACAGATCTTTTGTCACCCCTCATGTTTTTGACACAATGTTTTGTAATATTAACATTAAACTGTAAAATGACAGAAAGTCCATCGAAGGTTTCACCTTGAGGGAGTCCCCTTTGCATTTCTCAATATGAAATCAAGACAATTGTCGGTTTCTAAGTGTTTTCTAACACCAATAAATAGAGATAAAGAGAAAAGATCTCGAGTCTACATATACCATCTGTGCATTTAGACAAATCTTGGCCATTGATGAAAGTTAAGATTCCACCATGAAACCAATTGGCACTATGAGAAGTATCTCAACTTTAAACAATGCAAGGTCTCTTGTCCCATCAATATAGAATTCATTCTAAACACACGCCCCTCATGTGTGGTAAATTTTCAAACCTTACACATGAACAACACAATAGATGACATGGAGCGAGTTTGACCTGTTTAACTTCACACTTGGGACAGCCTACTCTGATTTCATTAAGAAAGTTTGTCAAAATTTGACCGAGAAGTAATACTAGATCAAGAGCTAGTTTATCAATTGTGTAATGCTATTAAATTCCAGAAAAATTATAAGCTAAACATCGGGAACTGGCTGTCTTCTAACATCATCCATCAACTCAAAAGGATTCCGACACCGGACTATGTTCTCAAAAGGAGCACCATTCGAACTGTATAAATGACAACTGATACACACTGGAACAACAATCTCAAGAGAAGAAACAAAACCCTGATGCTTGTTCCAAGAGAAGAAGCAAAACCTCTACATTAGCAGATCTATATCGTCTGTATAAGCGTTGTTTATGAAGATCCAGTAAATGCAGCATCATTTATCTTTGTTTTCAGGCGATGCTTTGTTGTCCACAAAAGGATATTCAGACGGGGCAGACCATAGACCGACCAGTATTACTATGTGGAGAAAAAAAAGCATAGCCGATGAGTACAGGTTTGAAGGAAAGACGTTCCAGCAAAACTCCACGCCGATAAACAACAATATGCTGTCCAGAATAAAGAAGTTCAATCAACAAAACGGATCAAAGTAGTAATCATACGTAATTAGTGAAGACTATGTAGCCTAAGGATTCAATGACAAAGCAGCCTACCGTAGTACTGTGGGAAAAGGCGTTTTCCACAATAGATATGGTAAGCTATGGAAATACCTGCAATCAGGCACATAAAGAACATTGAGTGCTATGAACAAAAGTTAGTGAATAATGTATTGAACTGCGCCATATCACTTCGTGAGTAGGTGACCACCATAAAAAGAAACCCCTTTAATTCTAAAGTAGCGGGCAGATTAGCACAGGTCATGCATTGACATCGGGATCAAAGAAAATAGGTGCATTTAGGCGATCAGCTTTCTTACCTTCTCATTTGAGAATACAACTTTTACAGATCCTATATTGTAAATTAGCTACCATGCATTTCTAAGTAGAGCATTCCGGCTACAAGTTATGATTTATACAGAATATCATCCAGCAAAACTTACCACGAGTAGAACTGATAATGCAATGATCGAGCACATACAATGCCGATGAAATTCCCAACAAACATAGTCGTCACAATATCTGAAATCACCATGCCCACATTAGTATCAGTTAAAAGGAAAAGTAGTAAGGAAAAAACCTTATTACAGAGGCCTGCTACTTACATTCTTTTCTAAGGACCCTGTTGGATGAATGGATGTTGAAGGACTTCTTCAAAGGGAATGAACTTGTAAGAGCAAATTTGAGTTTTATAGGATCAAGTCTAGAATACAAAAATTTGAAGAGTCCACCTTCATGCCTGCACAAGACGATTACCAAAACATATTCAGCAAAAATACATAATTATTTGGCCATCTATAAATACCAATTACTTGTCAAGATACTAGAGGAATGCATGTTACTGTAGACAAGAGTATTTTAGTGCCAGTAGAGTGGTATCAGGAGGTTGTGATTGTCAAATGTGGAAATATGTCGAGATCAGGACAAATGTTTTCTTTTGGCGGGAACAACATTCATAACTTCAACTTTATAACTTCCTAACCTTGCCATAAAAATAGAACGATCCATACACCTAACACATTCTCCACGCCACTTCCCCAACAACGCTTATTAAAAAGAATTATACAGTTATACTTACATGCACCATCTATAATGAGCAAAAGCAGTGAGTAAACCAAGGTGAGCAATCAGCAAAGAGATTGCAAATGCCTTCGATACAAATATTGGCTCAGGAACAAACTTGAAATTAACAGACCTGAAAAGAATTGCATGTTATTTTTCAACAACAAAGTGCACTAATGAAAGGAATTTCAAATGAAAAATAGACCATGTATTGCTGAATGAGCACAGAAATTCGAATGGAAAATTTCTCTTAAAGATCATAAATTATTGTTCAAAGAATGTACCAAAAGTGAATAAAAACTCGACCGAGATTAAAGGCTCTTGAGATGTATGCAAACGGATGAGACATGATGAAAGGCATCCCCAACAGTATCTGCAGAACCATACCATTCAGCAAATAGCTGTCAACAAATGAACACCTGACAGGATAATGCTCTTGAAATGAGGATCTTGAAGTTTAGCTCACCTAACGATGTTGGAATAAAACACACAGAGTCAACTTCTGCACTACCAGAGTTGCTTACTCTGAATTCTAAAAACGGTTAAAGAAAAATAATAGAATGTACATAAGGCTGCAAGGCTAAAACAAATGAAAGCTTACAAGCCTATGCAAACATTAGTCCGTTGAAAACAAAAGGAAGAGGTAAGCACCTGTACAAGTGCCGCACCAGATAAAGCTGATATCACTCCACCGATACTCATAGACTGTAAAAGATGTGTTGCTGGTTGAGAAATTTTAGCAAATAACTCATGCACGAATCTTATAGAAATGTAATTAATATTACCTTTAACATGAGGAGTAGTAGAGGTGGAGCATAAAGAAGCACATTCATCTTTACGGAAACAGCTCCACTTGACAGATCACAAAAGGCAAAGTTAAACAATCATCGTTTATCTTCACAAAAGTTCATCAAGGATGTAAGAATGCTACCTGAAAATGATCAGTCCTAGATGCCACTTTTGGTAAAGAAGTGAGGCCAACGAAGCATACAGGAGCATCATGGCCAAACAGTCAGTTAAAAAGACGAAGCACAAAAATAGAATGAACCCTTTTTGATAGACAAAGCAAGATGAAAGCCCACCATGGAACCTGCAAAATAACAAAAGGGAATTGGAAGCCAAATCAGAGCTGACACACAAGGGAGGAGAATCAAGTTTAAAACAAAGTTGTCAGCTGAGAAACAATACGCTGTGATCTTCAATATCCGGTAACACTTATGTTAAACATCCAAATATGTAATACAGTTAGTTTGACTACAAATTCCATGGAAAAACCTTCCAATTATTTTGTCATCAGTTAGGATGTACAATTGATAGTTCATTAAACCAATCACAACTTTGCAACATCAAAACCGGTGGGCAAAAGGCGCTAAAGCAGAATCAACACTTCATATTCACAAAAAGATTGAAATTTGTCATACCACATCTGTCTTCCCATAGATGAACAATATGATCCCCAAGTTTATAATGTACAAAATCCCGAACAAAATCTGCAAATATGAAATAGAAATTGAACCATTGGACAAAATCTACAAGTAAAAACTAAAAACATCAACGGAAAAACTTCCGTATTCGAAAAAAATGATCACCTGAGCTGGATGAACTTGGCCTCCTGTAACATACTGAATAGCAGAATAAAAGTAGAGGAAGCCAGCAGGATAAACCAGCGGCCCTGTGTCGCCTTTTAAGTTAGCATAGTCTCTCTCTCCACCAAGAAACCCACTAACCTGCCAATCAAATACTGTCATTATCTCGGCACATTTTCTTAGTAACCAAACAGTCAATAGAAAAAAGATAAAAACTTGGGGAAGATCACTCACTTGTGACATGTACGCGTCCCAATCTATCTTCGTATCTGCAACCCAACACTCACAATATCACCAATCCGAATTCATATATACAAGAGAGAGAGGGAGAGAGGGATAGATTACAGGGGACATAGGCGATGATAAGGGCGACTAGGATCGCATCGCAAAGGAGCAAGGCGGAAGAGAAGAGTAATTTAGAGTCTTTGAGAAATTTGGGGTTCGAGGAGTTGGAAATCCGCCGCCGCTGCGGGGGTTTCGGCCGCGTCGCCGCCGTCGACCTGCCCGCCATGGTTAAGTCGTCGTCTTTGGACCTCAAGGCTCAAACGTACCAAAAATTAAAAAAGGACCGTTGGACTTGAATACTAGAGTCCATGATCTGACCTTTGCTTGAAATCGGGCCGGGTTGATGGTAAACAAAAACATAGGCCCAATATAATCTTTATATTTTGAGTAAATTGTAGCAATGGTCCTTCAACTTTAATCAAATTTGAGCAATGGTTCCTTAACTAAAAATTCATTACCATTGGTCTTTCAACGCATCAAAATGTGTAGTTATGGTCCTTTTTGTCAACTTCATCATAATTTTGTCAAAATAAGTTAAGTTTGAAGGACCACAATTGGGGTCCCTCAACTCATCAAGACGTGTATTTTTGGTCATTTCCATCAACTTTGTCAATTTTTTGTCAAAATGAGTTATGTTGGAATGACCATTGCTACAATGGGATTGAAGTTGAGGGTCTATTGCTCCAATTGGATTAAAGTTGAAGGACCATTTCTCCAGTTGGATTAAAATTGAGGGACCAATAGTAATTGATTTTTAGTTAAGGAATCATAGCTGCACATTTTGATGAGTTGAGGGACTCATGATAATAGATTTTTAGTTGAGAGACCGTTATTCCAATTGGGTTAAAGTTAAGGATCATTACTACAATTTACTCGTATATTTATGTACAGGCCAGCCCAAAATACGACCCCTGTGTTTTGCGGTGGTGACTAGCCACGCTGTTCTTTGATTAAAAAAAAATCTGCAAGAGAAACTCACATACCACTCACTCTGTGCTATTCCATTTGTTTCTCTTCCACGAGCACAGTGTCGGAGTAGAAAATTTACAACGATATGGTCATAAAATATAAAGTTGCAAAAATTGATCATACTTCTTTTACTTATAATTGTTAATTTATGATTGGGATTCTATGGCACAACCAAGTGCGATGAGGGTGTTTGACCGAATTTGAACACTAGAGAAGCTTTGAATTAGGATATATAGAGTTTGAGAGAAGAAGGTGTTTGCGTATTTGATCAGTCTTCATCTTGTTTGAGAATTAACATGCTAAACTTTTTTGAAGTGAAACATAACACAAATGACGTAACTTTAATTTATGTCAATTTTAAAAAAATATTGATTAAAGGTCTCTTCATTTCATTTATCTAGCTAGTATAAGGGTCAAACGAAATTTCAAAAAGGAAGTTATATGTGTTATTGGAGTCAGCAACGGTCAATGCTCCACATTGGCTCCGCCACTGCGCCGTTGTACTCTCATCGTCGACGAAATATTCTACTCGTGCCAGCATTTAGCTCGGAAAGCTCCTCTGCGTCAAATGTTCAACTCACCGCCTGATCGTCTTCAACCAAAGCCTCCTACCCTCTCTCCCAAGCTCCCAACCCCTCTTCTGCCTACCTTCTCAGATTTACAGAACCTTCCTCTTAACGATCCCCTGGTAGCCGTCTCTCTCTCTCTCTCCCTTTCTCTCTCAAATTATTTGTGATTTTTTTCAGATTTAATAATATAACATATATGAAAATCAAGCTACATTTAGAACTTCAATAAAATACAATCTAAATGGATTATATCCCACATATTTACACAAAGTATCTAATATACAACGTTATAGGATCTCAAACGAAGTACTGAAATCCCCCTCTACAGCTACACTTGAAGTTCCTTGTACGGTTGTACCCGGCGATACCTGTAACCTTCAATGCCGTTCCTGCATCTTGAAAATGGTGCACCGAACAAACCAAAACTCGGATAAGCTTCAGATCTCGAATGAGTAGTTAGTAGACAAACTATGGTTCTCAATAAGCTGGAGTTCACCATACAGACTATACTATTAACAATCACTAGTTGTCCCTGATTGACGTGGACGAGGATTTGAACATGGGCGCAAGATGGATGAGGCGGGCATACTACTTTAGTTAACTGCTCTGATTTACGTAAATGGCCTTTTACCACAGTATTGAAAATGAGTTAAGTTATTGTATGACGGTGTGAGTTCGATTCCTATCGATAGCTAATATAACAAAATTTGTCGTTTAACAAACAAATATTGATCTGACCCACGAATGCAAATGTTTCACTTCATCAACTTTTTCACACTATCAACTTTGTACATTTTGTGTTGAATGTATATAGATGTGTGAGGGTAGTAGTGGGAGGCTAGGAGTGATCCTAAATGGAAATCTTCACCTGGATTTTTTGAGAATCATCGGATCATTTAAGCTTTTGACAAAATCATGTTCGTTATGTCGGCATACTTATATAAGTTGCACTATTGAGCTGAGTTGTGTATTTGGATGAATACAAGTTTGACAAAGACTATCTTATCGCACTTTTGCAAATCTTATCCCCGACGTGCGTGAACGTCCATGATAATATCATGAAGATATTTTTCAGTGTGATCGTCACATGAGGTGGTACATTATGTGTTCTTATATAAATAGTGAGTTATGTGTGTTAAAAAGTTAATAACTTAAAAATTTAAATTTTTCACCACTTACATAAAAACATATAATGTATCATTCATATTCTCGTCACAACTAAAAATTTCTTCACAGTATAACCGACCGACAGAATGAGTTTTTGGTTCTAAAAGCCAACCCTCAAGCCACGTGTGGCTACACTCAGCTAGTCAGCTCTTCCACCGTTAATCATCTGGATCTGCTACTACGTGTGCACAAGTACAATCTCCATTAGCCACGTGTACGTCTTCCACCCCTCCACTTCTTGCCTCCACCTCCGCCCACGTGTCCTCCCTGTAAACTCGCTCTCGTCTGTATATCTCCCACCTGAAATTCCTCCAACAAAACCAAAACAAAGTAAGAAACAAAGAAAAAACACGCACTCCTTTTATCCCTCTCTAAAAAATGGATAATTATTCCGACCACCTCAAGCAACGCAGGGCAGATGACCCTACCACCGCCGCCGTGCCCACCACCACGAACAAGAGCGGTTACAGAAGCAAAAAGGACATGAAAATGGACATGGCCAAACGCGGCCTTAGGTCCCTATCCGTGGCAGTCGCAATCCCCGTCTCTCTCCACCTCCTCGCTATCTACGCGGGCTCATCCGACCCATATCGCATCGGATCCAAGCCCTTCTGGATCCCTCCCCTGTGGGCCCTGCGATTAACCTGCATAGCCTCCAGCTTTATCATGGGCCTGGCTGCTTGGCTTGTGTGGGCGGAAGGTGGGTTCCACAAGAATCCAATGGCTCTGCCCATTTACTTGGCCCAGCTAGGGTTGAGCTTGATTTGGGATCCGATTGTGTTCGGGGCGGGGGCTCCGTGGGTCGGGTTGATCGTGTGCATGGGGATGTTCGGGGCGATGATCGGGTGTTCTCGGGTGTTTAAGGGTGTGAATCCGGTCGCTGCCGATCTTATAAAGCCGAGCTTGGCGTGGGTTGCGTTTTTGGCCGTCGTAAATCTTAAGCTTGTATTCCACTGAAGTTTCATTGTACAGCAGCTTATGTTATGTACGTATGCATTTCTCAATATAATTGCTATAAGCTTTTGTCTTGCTAAGTCTCCTTAGAAATGTTTCTTATGAAACACTTATATCGCATTCGAAACACACTTTATTTTAAAGGAAACTAATAAAAAAAACTTGAAAATTTTAAGTTTTAACGATAAGGATAAAATAAAAGTTAAAAGTGAATGGTACAATGATTGATTTTTTAGTGTAAAAATATCATTTTTTGTTAAAGTAAATAATACTGAAAATTTTTCGTTAAAGTTCTCTTATTTTAAAGCATTTTTAAAATGATCCACATATATTTCGGAGTTTGCTTAAACTTTGTAAAGAAAGGTTATAGGTTCGTGTAGTCTCTTTACAAAATAAGGGTAAATTGACGTCCAATAGGCGTTTTTTCCCGACTCTCGCTATGCAAGGTGGCCTTGCGTACGGTAGACATTCTCTCCTACCTTGCAAGCCGGAAGTCTTATTGGTTTGAAATCGTCTTTATTTTTCAAACGTGAGTTAAGTCTAGTTGGTCAGTGCGGGCTTAGACCCGAAAAGTTGTAAGATTGTATTATGTGGTATAGCAATTGCATTTAGTTGAAGATACAGGGACACCAATGAAGCATAGCAGACCAAGTATCTCTGAACCTAGTGCATAAAACCAACCATTAACCATTGCAGATTCAACGAGCCTGGACTTACAATAATATGAGAGGGAATTTCCTATCCGGGTTGGGGTGTATACCTGTTGATGGGGTATACACCCCGGGACTATGTATCCCGGGATAAGAAATTATCTCCGCTACAGAATAAACTCGGGGGAAATACATGCATAAGATTGTCGAACTCCATTGCTAACATAATCCACAAACACGAGCATGAACAGGTCTCACCACAGTATGAATATGAACACAATAACGTCTACAAAACTGATTGGAATTTTTGGAAACAATAAATAATCTCTCTGATTTTCGTTCGGGAAGTGGTGCACAAATTTATAATGTACAAAAGAATACTATCTCCAAATCTAGCACAAGACAAATAAATAGCATACGGATTCTAACTTATACATCAAGTAACACGAGTGAACTAAGAAGACGATACCTTGGCGGCCTTGAATGCCGGATGAAGCAATCCAAGTTCATCTTTAACCTCGAGCGGATTGTTTGTTTCGTTCCTAACTCTCTTAACTCTTCGACTACCCAGTGACCGGTGCGTGAATCCATAGATTTGAAGAATCTGATTGTCCCCAAAGTTAAAAGCTCTATCCATCTGCTCAAAGCATCTCTTAACCGAGTAATCTCCGAACTTCCCACACGGTTTGCAACCCACAAAATGCGTCACCAGCGGCCACCGGTGGTCACCCAAACCAGGTCGATAATTCTCAATCATTTCCTCGTACTTATCAACCAAAATACCCCAATATCCATGCAAATAATATCCACTCTCAAGATAAACCTTATCGCCCCACTTCTCTCTTTGAGTGGCCAATATATAAACCATGGCTGACTGATCATCAGCTTCGAAAACCGGCCTACCTTTCAATTCCCTAGTGAGCACCTTCCCTGCCTCCTCCCTAATCTTCCCTTTCGGTCCCATCGGAGCCCAAGCATCGAGCATATCCAACGACCACTGCGTATTCCTCAACAAAAAGCTCCCGGTATTCAACCCAATCCAACTTTTCTCATCATACACCATCTCGTTCCACCCGTGCATCACAAAGTTGGAATCTTTGTACCTCTCCCATGGCAATTCAAAAGCCATATCTGTAAACATTGCATCACTATCCATCCACCATAGAAACTCAACCTCCGGGTGAGACAACAGGAGCTTCCGAATCAACGGAAGCTTGGCCCAAAAACCCGCCATTTCGGCATCCAACAGGGCCATATTGTAAAAAACCTCAATCCCATGTAATCTACAATAATCGATTTTGTTCTTAATCGACTTCAACAAGTAATGATCACCTACCGGGTTTTCGCAGGGTTTTGGCGACGACCCAGTCACCAGAAGCACCCGGGGCTTACCAGGCCCGACGAAATTTGGGAAATTAGGATTTTCCCGGAGCCATTTCGACCTCTGCTTGTCCCAATTCGAAATCTTGGGTCCAAGAGTGTAGGGCTTATTCGGGTCGGGCCGGTCGTCCTCCCCTTCGTCGACCAGGATCTTGTTAAAATCCAAGGCGTTGTAGTTGTTGGGGTCGGACGGCGTCGCGTGGACCTCCTCCAGGACGCGGTGGGGCTCCGCCCGCTTGCGGGAGTAGAAGTGGTCCCGAATCTCGAGGAAGTCCTGCTCAGGGGTTCCGAACTTGCCGGCTCCGATCGTGCCGCGGAGGACGACCACCGTGAGGACGAGGCAGAGGATCGTGACCTTGCTGTGCCGGAGAGCTCGCTGGATCCGTCGCGATCGTTGAGCTCCCAAGCATTTCTCTAATATCATAGCTGAAATTTGAACCTCAATAGAACATACGAAAATTGGGGAATTTGGGAAATTTTGGTGGATGGGGAGTGGAAACCCTAGAATCCACAATTTTGACAGAATTGGTTTTGGGACAAAGATTTTGTAAGCCAATGTCGGAGGTTTGGTCGATGTTAGAAATGTTTTTAACCTAATACGCGTTTCTTTTTATAAAACAGTACGGAAGTTGAAAAAAAAAGACAAAAATTGTTATTATTATTTCACTAATCTTATTTTACACTCTAATCTTTTTATATTTAAAAAGAAAAATACAAATGTAGAATGAGATTTTTGAAGTACTAATAACACTTCCGAACAAAAAACAACAAAAGAATGTTTATTGGTTTGGGCCTTTGGAATTTGGACCCACTTGAGAGGAAGATTAGAGGCCTACTTTATAGTAATGCATGAATGAGTTAGCAAGTTCACCTCTCTTTTTACACTCAAGTTTCATCTCTCTTCGTATATATTTTTTTGAACGCATTAATATTTTTACATTAAGAGGAGGGGAAGTTTGGCTAAGCCACACAATGGGCAATTTAATTTAGTATCGAATTCGTCATCCACGAGATTCGAATCTAAGACCTCTCACTTCCAAGTGAAGAAAGTGATCTAAAAAGTATATATTAAATGATCTAAAAAGTATTGCCTTTAAAATAATTGAAAACGGTTTTGTTGAAAATACTTTTTGAAACTAATCCTTAGTAAAAATCCAAACGGATCCTGAAAAGCCAATCATGTAAAAATCCAAGATAAGGGATCCCCATTTTTTCTCAAAAAATGGAGATTGGTTGTGGGATCCATTTCACAACGAACTTCAACGATCCGAATGATCTATTTGGTAAGTCTCGTTTCATAGATCATTTATGCAAAAAATTCAATTCAATCTGAAATCATTTGCTTATTTAATTATCACAATGAAAATTCAATGTTTCTTAAAACATAGTGTTAGTCAATATCTTTAAACTCAATTAGATGTCTCAAATATTTCCGATTTGATTAATATTTTACAAACATGATCCATAAGCAATGTTTAAAATATCGGTATCAGTAGAAATATCAATAGGCAAATTTGTGGATATATTGTATATCGATATCGATATTGATTGTCTTCGATGGAAATGATGAATATTTGCTCAAAAACATGGAAATTTTAAATTATTTTTTAAAGAATGTCATACGAAGCCACAACACATGTATAAATCAAGAATTAATGATTAGATACTGTGTAAACAATAAGTATGTGATATATGAGAAGAAAAACTTCCTTATAATGACAAGTAATAAAATAAATCATTTCACTATAAAGCATACGTAACTTAATTGAAATTTTCATCATAAAGCAGCACAAGTTTTATTGAAGTAAACTAATACCATAAAGAAAGAAATTAAAAAATAAAGAATGCATAGGCTTATGGATATTTCCTGCAAACTTTTTACAAATTGTCTACAAACATTGGATATTTCTTGAAAATATAAAAAATATCGAGGAAATTGACTGATTTACGGAAAGATCGTGTTCACCCCTTCTTTCCATATCATTCCCTGAATTTCTGGATATTTTTGTGGAAATATCGAACATATCCAGGATATTTCAAACAGTGTCCATAAGGAGCAACTTCAAAAATAAACAGTTCATATTTTTGAAGTTCAATGTGGTCCAGGTTCCACAATTAATCTCCCTTCCACTAAAGACTCCGCTAGTTTTCATAGTATAAATGCAGATCCAACTTTATTTCTCATACATTTCAATCTGAGTTTCACTCTGCTGTGACAACCATTGTCGCAGGCGCCTCATGCCATGGCACAAATCGCAAGGGCATTTGGAATAGTATTTCAACTCGTAACTTGTATCCGAATTGTCACCTGCCGCTGCTTCCACTTCAAATAATGAATAAACTTGTTCACCGTTCCTACCTTTCTTTACTTGTCTGTCAAACCCTTGAGTTCTACTCTTTTCCTCCCTCCCAGATGAAATATTCAACAATAGCCTTTAGTAACTAGTTGTTGTAATTTAACCTCTAAAAGAAGATAGAAAATAGGTATAAAGGTTAAATTACAAGTTACTAAGGTTAACCAACATGTAATTTAACTTGTAATTTAGCCTTTAGTAGATACTATTTTTTTTAACGGATATGAACGGACGACTAACAAGTTAAAGTATAGACACACATCATTGCCATGTCCACACAATACCAGCACGGTACGAAAAGAACCAAGAATTGACGTTGTGTTTATGTTATGTAAAGCACACAAATGTAAATTAAGTAAACCAAGAAAATGATTACCCGTAGATTTTGTTAAGAGTCTTTTCCAAGAGTACGGTAGATCCAACTGCTACATCATCTACCTTTTGCCCATTTTGAAAGAAACGAAACGTTGGCTGCGCATCAACAAATTATGTAATGTTTACCATGGTCATCGTTAGACAATTATTGATTAGGATTTGAACAAATTACAACCCTAATTATTGAATTTTACTTTAAAAACAAAGGTTAAGCATATGGTACAAATTACACTAAGTAAGAATGAATCACTTACCGTACAATTGATATTGTACTCTTTCATTACATTACTAAGGTCTTCTACGTACTGCAGAGAGAATAAACAAACCCTAAGTCAACTTATCTTGAGGCAAAATAAGAAATCATATCATAATTATCAAGAATTGAAATGATTGAGAAATAATTTGATCAAAGTGAACCAAAATCATCTTACAAGGCCATACCCTATGATCAATTATAATTTGATACAATGCTACATGTGGGAATTCCTTGGCCCACCTACTGATGACTGAATGTGTGCAAAAGTAGTCTGCAGAAGAACAGTAAACCAAGTATAAGTTGAATAAGAATACTTGGTTGCAAATGACCTGCCTGTTAAAAGTAATTCATAAGAACTTACCAAGCGTCTGAGCGTCGTATTCATAGAAGCAAAAGATTGCTGATAAAGATTTATCTATATACCAATGAATTATTGAAACACATAATAAAACTGCATTATCATCTCAAAACAAAACAAAACAAATTAATTCAAACAAAGTAAAGAAAAAAAGGATTAAAGTAAGTTTCACCACAAATACGTATCAAAATATACAAAACGCAGACCATGCACAATAGCTTTACCTTGTGTGTGTGTGTGTCTAATATAATCGAAGAAGTGAGAGATGTTACCTTGAACTCTTTTAAGCTCCAACTCATACTCAACCATTTTATACAAGTAAATTTCTGGGGGAACTGAAAAATAAAATCTTTGTTGTTACAGCAAAGTCAGTTGGACCAACGGAAACAGAAAGTAAAAGAGAGATGGAGTACCTACAAAGAGGCGCCGGTCTTCCCATGGAACGTGCATAGACCAAAATTTGTTCCACTTCCAGTCAGGATATTCTGCTAAGAAAAAAAAATAGGCAGGCGACATTCATTATTGTAAAAGTTTATTTAACAGTTTGAGAAAAAAATCGCTGGAAAGGCTGTTGAATTGTAATCTTGTCTTGGCCCAAAGATAATTGATCTGGCCCATACACAAAGAAAGATCCATGCACATGCTAGAGAATTCTAGCAAAGTTCAAGTTGGTGGAAGAGTCTAGAAGAATGGTGAGGATTCCACCAACATACAAGATTAGTGTAGATAATTCTAGCTTAGGAAGGTAGTGGAATTATCTAGATATCTCTAGCATAATGTTTTCATGCTTCTCTAAGGTTCCATCCATGCCTATAAAAGGAGAAGGCATCCACACCATTTGTAACAACCAAGAGAGCAAGTAGCAAGAAGTGAGAGTGTCAAGTAAGAAGTAAGAAGAAGCAACAAAGCTTCTAAGAGTGTTTGAGTGTTTCCTCTTGTACTAAGTTTGTGAGTGAATAAAAACCTTGTGTAATACTTTGAGAATTCTTTCTTTCTCTTGCCTATCAATTCCGCTGCGTTACATTTTTCTTTGTGAGATAAACCTCTCCAAGTAGTGAAGCATTTTTAAACCCCCAACAAAGTGGTATCAGAGCTATGGCTAGCAATGCTATGGCAGCCTTCCAAGTTCCAGTGCTCGACAACAACAACTTCGATAATTGGAGTATCAAAATGAAGGCCCTTTTGGGTGCACACGATGTCTGGGAAGTCGTGGAGAAAGGCTACACTGAGCCAGAAGATGAAGCTACTCTGTCTCAACCCCAGAAGGAGAGTTTGAAAGATTCAAGAAAGAGAGACAAGAAGGCTCTCTACCTCATCTACCAAGCATTAGATGACAATGGCTTTGAGAAGGTCTCGAGTGCAACCTCTGCCAAGCAAGCATGGGAGAAGCTTCAAACCTCTTACAAAGGAGCCGAACAAGTGAAAAAGGTTCGTCTTCAAGTATTAAGAGGTGAGTTCGAATCTCTACAAATGAAAGGGTCTGAATCAATCTCTGATTATTTCTCAAGAGTCTTAGCCGTTTCCAATCAATTAAAAAGAAACGGGGAAAAGTTAGAAGATGTTAGAATTATGGAGAAGATACTACGCTCGTTGGACCTCAAGTTTGAGCACATTGTCGTGACGATTGAAGAAACTAAAAACTTGGAAGAAATTAGTATAGAGCAATTAATGGGTTCGCTACAAGCATATGAAGATAAACATAAGAAGAGGCAAGGGAATGATGAGCAGCTCCTCAAGACGCATATCCAGCCAAAGAAGAAAGAAGAAAGCTTCAACAACGAGAGAAGCCAATACGGAAGAAGTCGTGGTCGAGGTCGCGGACGTGGACATGGGCGTGGATGTGGTTGGAACTTAAACAACCATAGCAACTACGAAAGAGGAGAAAGCTCAACAAAAGGTTGCGGAAGAGGACGCTCAAACTCGAGTTATGAAAAATCTCATGTTCAATGCTATAATTGTCAAAAGTTTGGGCATTATGCTTGGGAATGTAGAGCTCCAAACAGTAGACTTGATGAGAAAAGTCAATTATGTGAAAGAAGAGCAAGAAGAGAATGGTGTTGTGCTACTAGCATGTAAGAACAATGATGGAGACCAAGACTATACATGGTACCTTGACACCGGCGCTAGCAACCATATGTGCGGAAGAAGAAGCATCTTCGTAGAGCTCAATGAATCAGTGAGTGGCAACGTTTCTTTTGGAGATGAATCCAAAATACCCATAAAAGGAAAAGGTAACATCCTTATTCCCTTGGAAAATGGCGGTCACCAATTAATTTCAAATGTTTACTATGTGCCCAATATGAAAAGCAACATTTTGAGTTTGGGTCAACTCTTAGAAAAAGGTTATGATTTTCATACGAAAAATTATATCCTTTTTCTTAGAGATGACAAAGGAAGATTAATTGCCAAGGCGAAAATGTCAAAGAATAGAATGTTTCCCATGAACGTTCAAAACGATGTTGCAAAGTGTCTCAAGATATGTTACAAAGACATATCTTGGCTTTGGCATCTTCGTTTTGGGCATCTTAACTTTGGGGGACTGGAGTTATTATCCAAGAAGGAGATGGTGAGAGGCTTACCGTGTATCAGCCACCCTGATCAAGTTTGCGAAGGATGTTTACTTGGGAAACAGTTCAGGAAAAGCTTTCCAAAGGAGTCGACCACAAGAGCCCAGAAGCCACTCAAGCTCATTCACACCGATGTGTGCGGTCCAATAAAACCAAGCTCTTTGGGTAAAAATAATTATTTCCTTCTCTTCATTGATGATTTTTCAAGAAAAACCTGGGTGTATTTCTTGAAGCAGAAATCAGAAGTCTTTGGAGCATTCAAGAAGTTCAAAGCCGCTGTAGAAAAGGAGAGTGGTTGCAAGATCAAAGCCATGAGATCTGATCGAGGAGGAGAATTCACTTCGAAGGAATTTCAAGAGTTTTGTGAAGCAAATGGAATTCGTCGACCTTTGACAGTTCCAAGATCCCCTCAACAAAATGGAGTGGCGGAAAGAAAAAATTGAACCATCCTCGACATGGCTCGAAGCATGCTCAAAAGCAAGAAATTGCCTAAGGAATTGTGGGCAGAAGCTGTAGCATGTGCTGTCTACCTATCCAATCAGTCTCCAACAAGGAGTGTATGGGGAAAAACTCCGCAAGAAGCATGGAGTGGAAGAAAACCAGGTATTTCTCATCTAAGAGTTTTTGGAAGCATAGCCCATGTACATGTACCAGACGAGAGGAGAACCAAACTCGACGACAAAAGTGAGAAGTTCATCTTCATTGGCTATGACACCAATTCAAAAGGCTATAAGCTGTATAATCCAAACAATGGGAAGACGGTGGTCAGTCGAGACGTGATGTTCGATGAAGAAGGAGAATGGGATTTTAGCCCGCATGCAGGTGATCTTCACTTCTTTCCTCAATTTGAAGAAGAGAATGAACAAGGGATGATGGAGCAAGCAAGAGAGGTTCAACAAGAATCCACTACTCCACCTGCTTCACCAACATCAACCAATCATGGTAATTCATCAGCATCAGCATTGTCAAGTGGGAGTCTAAATGAAAGAGAAGTACCACGCACAAGAAGTATACGAGATCTTTATGAGGTAGCTGAAAGACTAGATAATCCTACACTTCTCTGTCTCTTTGCTGATTGTGAACCAGTCGACTTCCAAGAAGCAGTGCAAGATACTAAGTGGAGGAAAGCAATGGATGAAGAAATTGAAGCAATCCAGAAGAATGATACATGGGAACTCGCTATTCTTCTGAAAGGACACAAAGCCATCGGAGTCAAGTGAGTGTACAAGACAAAGAAAAATGCCAATGGAAAGGTCGAAAGATACAAGGCAAGACTAGTGGTGAAAGGCTATAGTCAAAGAGCCGGAATCGACTATGATGAGATATTCGCACCTGTTGCTCGGTTGGAAACTATAAGATTACTAATTTCTTTGGCAGCTCAAAATAGTTGGAAGATTCAACAAATGGATGTGAAGTCCGCCTTCCTAAATGGAGTTCTTGAAGAAGAAGTCTACATTCAGCAACCGTCCGGCTATGAGATCAAAGGGCATGAAGACAAAGTTCTGAAGTTGAAGAAAGCCCTCTATGGGTTAAAACAAGCACCACGAGCATGGAATAGTCGCATCAACAAGTACTTTCAAGAAAACAACTTCATCAAGTGCCCTCATGAACATGCTCTCTACGTCAAAGTCAAAGATGGAGATATTTTGATTGTGTGCTTATATGTGGATGATCCAATCTTCACCGGGAGTAATCCAAGCATGTTTGAAGAGTTCAAGAGAGTGATGACCAAAGAATTTGATATGACCGACATCGGGTTGATGGCATATTACCTAGGCATTGAAGTCAAGCAGAACGAAGAAGGAATTTTCATCTCCCAAGAAAGCTACACAAAGGAGATACTGAAAAAGTTCAAAATGGACAACTGCAAGCCCGTGAGCACGCCAATGGAGTGCGGAGTCAAACTAACCAAGTATGACAAAGGAGAAAGCGTAGATCCAACATTTTTCAAAAGCCTAGTTGGAAGCTTGCGCTACTTGACTTGCACAAGACCAGATATTCTCTATGCTGTTGGATTAATCAGTCGCCACATGGAGAATCCCACAACTACACATTTGAAAACGGCCAAAAGAATTCTTCGATACCTCAAAGGTACTGTTAACTTTGGCTTGTTTTATTCAAGTTCTGATAACTACAAACTTGCTGGATATAGCGACAGTGATTGGGCAGGAGATTCCGACGATAGAAAAAGCACTACTGGATTTGTGTTCTTCATGGGAGACACTGCATTCACGTGGATGTCGAAGAAGCAACCGATTGTCACTCTCTCTACCTGCGAAGCTGAATATGTAGCTGCTACTTCATGTGTCTGCCATGCAATCTGGCTGAGAAACTTGTTGAAAGAATTAAGAATGCGACAAGAAGAGCCAACAAAGATCTATGTCGACAACAAGTCTGCAATAGCTCTAGCAAAGAATCCAGTATTCCATGACAGGAGCAAACACATAGATACCCGTTATCATTTCTTAAGAGAGTGCATTGCAAGAAAGGATGTGCAAGTGGAATACGTGAAGTCTCAAGACCAAGTTGCCGACATATTCACCAAGCCACTCAAACAAGAAGACTTTGTCAGACTAAGAAACTCAATTGGCGTCACAAAACAAGATTAAGGGGGGATGTTGAATTGTAATCTTGTCTTGGCCCAAAGATAATTGATCCGGCCCATACACAAAGAAAGATCCATGCACATGCTAGAGAATTCTAGCAAAGTTCAAGTTGGTGGAAGAGTCTAGAAGAATGGTGAGGATTCCATCAACATACAAGATTAGTGTAGATAATTCTAGCTTAGGAAGGTAGTGGAATTATCTAGATATCTCTAGCATAATGTTTTCATGCTTCTCCAAGGTTCCATCCATGCCTATAAAAGGAGAAGGCATCCACACCATTTGTAACAACCAAGAGAGCAAGTAGCAAGAAGTGAGAGTGTCAAGTAAGAAGTAAGAAGAAGCAACAAAGCTTCTAAGAGTGTTTGAGTGTTTCCTCTTGTACTAAGTTTGTGAGTGAATAAAAACCTTGTGTAATACTTTGAGAATTCTTTCTTTCTCTTGCCTATCAATTCCGCTGCGTTACATTTTTCTTTGTGAGATAAACCTCTCCAAGTAGTGAAGCATTTTTAAACCCCCAACAAAGGCAACAAGAAAAGCCTTTGAAGAGAAAGAGGTGGATTATGTGCCTGAAGCGGAGGAAGAAAAGCCATTGATGCGACTTCTGTGCTGCAGAAAATCAAGGTTTGGTGGTGGTGAAGACAGTGCAGCTGCTACTGAAATTAAGGTTAGGCTTTGGATAGATTTACGATTGCCCCTTCCAAGCAATTGTCGCACCAAAAACCTTGAATTCCTCATTCTCTTGCGGCTTCGCTTCTGTTTTTGTGTTACTTTCGAGTTGGTAGTTGGGTGAAGAGGATCCTCCTTGCGATTTCTTCTACAATGATTTTATGACAGTAGTTATTTTTGACAAGTTTAGTGGCATGACAAAAAAGGCGCACACACACATGTATAGGTTTAGCTAGGGTTTAGTATTTTGGTCAATAAAGCCGAGTTTTAGATATATTTAGTCTTGGGTATTTTGGTCAATAAAACGTAGAATATATTTCCCTATGCTACCCGAATTTTGGTGAATAAAGCCAGGAATTCAAGGGCTTTGGAAGCGAATTGCTACAGAGAAGAGAATGGCTACGAACTCCAGGGTTTTAGTAAGACAGTTACTTGGCAATCCCCTAAACCCCTGCACAGCTCTTCTTCATCACCATAACCATAAGCATCCTCTTAGTTTCATCAAAACCCTAACAGTTTCAGTCCCAATCACACCATCTTTGCCACCACGACCGCCCCCACCGGCAATTCCTTCCTCTTCAAAACTCTTCTGTACCCTTGACTCCAGCTCAAAAAAGGAAATTGTTATTGGGTCCTATAGCCGCTGGTCTATCAACTACAAGGGTCGGTGACTTAACTCTCTTCAAAACTCCTTCCACAAATCTTCTGCCTTTGTTGTTGCCTTGCCGCCGCTGACTTAACTCTTTTCACGATTTTCTTATTTTCAGGCTACTCAGACATTCCTCTCATTTTGCTCCACAACCATTACGATCAGTATGTCAGCGCAGTTAAAACAATTCAAGGTAGTGTTTTATAGTTTTTTTTTTTTTTTTTTTAATTAAATGTTTGCTTGAAAGTGTTTTTTTTAGATGAAATTGTGTACTTTTAATATAAGAAAACATAAGATTTCATGCAGTTTGTTTTATTTGTTCTTTTAATTCATTGGAACAGACCAATCTTTACCGGCAATTATATTATTCACGACCTATTACGAGGCCAGTAAGTTCAAATGAATTTACTTTGTTTAATCAAGCTAGCTGCTTCTCTTTGTGATATAATCGGGAGACGATAATCACACACCTTGTTTCTTCCCCTACACAACCCTCTTAATCATTTGTGTTGTTTCCATTTGATTTGTTCAATCTAACGCCCGTAAATGAAGAAAAGTGTGTAGGAAGAGAACTAATGTGCGTGATTATCGTCACCCTAAATTAAACTGCTCCGTTTCCAACTAAGTGTTTGATGTACTCTTCTTGTGCAGTGTCTCATGTCACTTTTGATATGTTTATGGAAATGTGTGAGCCTTTCCCACATGTAATAGCATATGAGTTCCTCCTTGATCCTGAGGTGTGCCACTGTAATCCAGTTTTCTATTATCCCTTTTTTTTTTGCCTTCGGGAAGCTATTGAGTTTCTGCTAAGTTTTTTAATCCAAACTTAAGAATTAAGAATAAGATCAAAACAACTTAGGGGTTGTTTAGTATTTAAACTGAAAGTAATTTACAGTTTAAAATGACGAATGTAA